CTATTATTGGGGTTTCTTAACACGTTTAGGGTTCCTTGCCGCCGTCAAGGTTTTTCGTGTCATTTTCTCGTCTCCATTGAGTGTTGTGAGATCGTATCCTCCGATTGTGGGTGTTCTAGGGATCGATTCTTACTTTCCTTTCTCTTCCTTGTTTTTCTTTTTCCCTTTTTCGGGGTTAGGTTGGGGTTGTATATCCGTGTTCCTTACTGTTTGTTTTTTTATCTTTATTATCTAAATTTGGTGTTCTGTTGTTCGCGATTTAGGTGTTTAGGTTTGGTTTTGCGATCACCTCTATTCGATATGTCTTCTTTTGGGTGTTATTCCAGATTTCGGCTTGCTATTGGCAAAATTCTAGTTCTGTGGAAAATTTGGTGGTGTTCTCTTTCGTTGTTCAGCCTTTTCTCGTCTGATTTGTTCCATCTTGTGGCTGTTTTAATTGGTGGGTTGCTTTGGGGTTTCTTATTCCTATGGGTGCCGGTGATCATTGTCTATGTGCCTTGGAGAACCTTTCATTTGGGATGTGATCGACATTGGGTGATGTTCTATTTGGAACCATTTTTTCATATCTATGGTTTCCATTAGAACTGGCTCAAGATTAGTGATACCATTCCGGAACTGCTGTACCGTCGAGATTAGTGGTCCGATCAGAGCTGGTTTCGTTTCCTTTCTTTTTGGTTGATTTGTTGTACCATGATCGATGATGGGACGACTAATTTGCCTGTCGTTTTGTTGACTTATCAGCTTTTTGGGTTGGTTCTTCCTTGGTGGGCCGATTTTTAGCTGTTGTTATGGCTGACGTTTTGCCAAGGTTTTCTGGAGGCTTCTTTTGGATTGCTGTGGGGCCTGCATATTGACTTCGTTTTTTGGTGGTCTAAGGCGGTGATACTGATGATGTCATGGATGACGTTAGACCACGATTTGCTTGCTAATCTATTTGGATTGTTGTGGGGCCCTACTATTGGCTTTACTCTGTGGTTGTATAAGGCGGTGCTGCAAATATTTCTTTCAGGTATGAATTTTGATATTGATCAGTCTTATATGCTTTGCCTGTGTAAGACATGTATGGCTCGAATTGTTCGGCGTAATGGCTACGCTTTTGTTTTGGTCGCTGTGGGTCTTATATATCATTTTCATGTTGTTGCTATCAGTCGTCTACTCTTTTTCTACTCTTTGGTTCTTTTCTTCCTTCTGTTTCTCTTTCTCTTTGTGTATTCCTTTTTAGTTTATTTTCAGTTTGGATTTAACTAGGTGAGGAGACTTCAGTGGGGGGTTGTGGGTTCCATTGTGTTCTTTTGTTGGAATTTTGTTGTTAGGATGGCGATGGAAGCCAATATTCTGGCCCAATTCTATGGTATGACGTTCACCCAAAAGGAAAAGAAGCCTATTCAGCTGTCGGTAAAAGATATTGCCCAAAGTGATCAGCTGTGTCGATCGAGTTTATTTGGGAAGGTGTGGGCCTCTAAAACTACTACTTTGGCTGGGGCTAAGTTTACCTTTGGTAAACTATTTAATAAATTATGGCCAAAAGACAAGCAGTAGGAGCCTATTGCCAAGCAGTTACAAAATTTTAAGGTGGCACAAAATTTATTTCAGATAATTATATTGGATGCTACTATTCGACAGCGTATCTTGGATGGTTGTCCATGGTTTTTTGATGGACATTTGCTGGTGATTAAAAAGTGGGAGGAGGGTTTATTAGGGTCTGATGTTCCATTTTAAGTATCTCCTTTCTGGATTCAATTTTTTGATGTAAATGCTAATCTTCTTTCTGAGAAAGTTGGACACCGAATTGCTTCTTCCTTTGGTTGCTGTTTAAAAGTCGAGCTACAGGATAAAAGCGTGACTGAAGGGAAAGAATTAGTGGGAAATGATAGTCGCGTTCTTCGGATTAGGGTGAAGATGGATATAACGCAGCCTTTTAGGTGCAATATTCTTCTTACTAGTCCAACGGGTGAGGAGTTAAGAGCGCAAGTTCGTTATGAGAAGCTGCCGTCTTTTTGCTTTGCATGTGGGATTATTGTCATCAATGGAAATCTTGTCAGAATGGGCTTTCTGTAGGTCCTGAAAATCTTAAGGAGTATGGGATTTGGTTGGGGGTGGATGGTTTCTTGGGGAAAGACCTTTGGAGTCAGGATAGAGATGGGATGGAGTCGGTGGGTGACGGGACTCAAAAAAATTGGTTGTATCTGGAAGATGAGGATACTGATCATGAGGATGGTCTTGCAGGATCTAAATTGTCTTCACTATTTCGTCAGCTTTCTAATTAGGAGGGTGATCCGTTTGGTCTACATGCTCGTGGTCCGGGTTTTCTTCTTGGAGACAAATCAGGTAATGATGTGGTGGCTCTTTCAAGTGTCGGTGGACAGTCACGTTTGGTTGGAGGTGATGTTCTTGGAGAATTTTCAAGTGGTTTGATAAAAGTTGTGTTACGGGATCAGGATATTGGTAAAGGTGAAGTTACTGGGCCTATGGGTTCGCCTGTCTTGCAGACGGATGGGGGTCTTATTCTAGGTTCCTCGTTACAGAGTCACGTGGCCTCAGTGCAAAATGATGAGCTTCTGGCATCGGCTCCAGTCACTTCTCCAATTAAAGGTCGCATTCTTCCTTTGTAAAGGTAGGATCAATTCTCTAAAGGTTGGAAGAAAGGTAAAAGTCGTGCCAAATCAGTGTTTGGGTCTACTTCTGATTCCTTTGGCACTTCTCAGAGCCAAGGTTCTTCCTAGGTTAGGAAGGGTCGCAAACGCCGTCAATCCATTTTTGGGGGTTCTCAAGGAAACCGTGTACGCGGTGAGAAAAAGCTTAAAGTTGTGGTTGCCAATATAATTGAACAAACAGTGGCCATAGATGTTGTTGGGGGTGAAGTTGGGTTGAAATCTGAATCCTCTGGTAAGTTTGGGGCTCACCTGACAGAGTCATATAATCCCGAATCGTCTAAGTCTTTTGCTACTCAGCTAGCATTACTTGTGGGGGCTAGTAATCCCACGGTTACTGACACCTTTTAATCCTTGTTATTGTCAAGACTGTGATCTTGGCATGGGTGTTAGTTTATGTTGCTAGTTATTGTTTTTGTTGTTGTTAGTGGTTCTTATATGAATGATGTTGTTTGATCTTTACTTGTAGATGCCATATGGCGTTTTTTTTACCAGGGTAAAAAAAAAAAAAAAAAAGACACTAAAAGAGGAATTAATTGGACTAGAGGAGCGAATGACGAAGCATTTCTGCAAAGGACCATGACGTGGCTTTGATCAAATTCATATAAAATTGATTTCTCTATGAGATGGGAATAATTTATTTGGGGGGTAAAAGCTCAAGTAAGATAAGTGTCACGAAGTGATTGTTAAGACGCTTGGAGTATGGAAGACACACATGCTGATTGGTAAAGAGCAGAGTTTGACTGGGACTAGTTCCAAGGAAGGGGCGTACATGAGCACAGGATGGTACATCTTTAGAGTTCAGGCAGGTCGACTTGGTTGAGTGCGAGGAGCTTGTCGCTGGTCGTGGACTTGACTATGAAGAAGGGAGTTAGCCATCCCTGCACAAACTGGTCGGGAGCTGGAGTCGTTCCCCTGACGAGGTCAAGGCAGGTCGAAACCAGTCAGCATATACCCTTGAGAGGGCAGGTCGTAGTGGTTAACCAGGGCGCTTGCGCGAGCTAAAGTAACGCCTTGGTGCCGTACGGGCCATGCCACTGTGCCAAATCTCTAGACCCTTGACAAATGGTATCAAAGTAAGACTTGGGATAAAGTATGGTGGGGTGCCCCCTTGTCAATCCGGGAGGGGTCTGAAAATGAATACGGTGCACTGAAGTTGCGTCGATGAGGAGGAATCAATGCAGTTGGGGGGAGAGCCTCCATCTCCCCAGGAAGAGGTGTCCATTGAAGTTGTGCACCGGAAGGCCGGAGGGTCGCGCGCACCAAAGTTCGTGCTAGCTCCTTGGGTGATGCAAACTGTGGTAAAAGGCGGGCATCAAGTCGACAGGAGGCCCTTGCTTGCTCGGGATGTCGCGGAGGCAGCATGACGGAGAAGAGTCATGTCCTTGAGGAGTGGACGTCCCCTTGGTCCGAGGCCTATCATTGGGCGAGTGCAGTGCAGGGAGCTGTACAAGGAAGCGATGGTGGGAAGGCGAGCATACCGCTTGGAGGCAGACTTTGGAAGGGAGTGTACGTAGTAGTGAAGCTCCGCACTGCGACAAGGGCGTCGCAGGATTTGGGTGGGAGAGTGTCACGAAGTGATTCCTAAGACGCTTGGAGTATGGAAGACACGCATGCTGGTTGGCAAAAAGCAAAGTTTGATTGGGAATGATTCCAGGGAAGGGGCGTGCAGGAGTACAGGATGATACCTCTTCAGAGTTCAGGCAGGTCGACTTGGTTGAGTGCGAAGAGCTTGTCGCTGGTCATGGACTTGACTATGAAGAAGGGAATTGATCATCCTTGCACAAACTGGTCGGGAGCTGGAGCCGTTCCCCTAAGAGGCCAAGGCAGGCCGAAACCAATCAGCATATATCATTGGGAGTGCAGGTCGTGGTGGCTGACCAAGGCGCTTGCGCGAGCTGAAGCAACGCCTTGGTGCCGCACGGGTAGTGTCGTGCGCCAAATCTCTAGGCCCGTGACATGAGGCTCTTCTTAATTTCCAAATTCCAACACTAGTCGATGTGTACGGACTATGGACCTATCTATATATTATTGTAAACTATGAACTATGAGTAGCTCCCTTAATTTCTTGACTGGCCGGAATCCTAACTAACCAAGTGAAATGGTCCAATTATTTTAAACTACCTACAATAATACATCATCATATCTGCAAATCTTTCCAACAACATTTATCATCTTACCATCTATATATATATATATATATATATATATATACATGCCAAAATTAAGGGTCCCAAATTAAGCATGCATGCACGCAGTTCCTACCATACTCCACCTTTTTCAAGCAGACGTGTAGATAGAGATGCCTATAATATACATATATATATATATATATAGTTATCCCAAGGATTGATAATCAAACAAGCATCTTTACACACCACGTTGATTTACTTACAGTCAATCCAAATACAAATTTTGTGTCATATATAGTGTATAAAGATATAGAATTCAACAACAATCAAACATAATATCTTCATTTTTTCCCTCCCAACCAAAAGAGAGTCGGATATATTATATATATAATCAATATAGTGACATATATTAGTGTGAAAGTATTATATATTATATATATAACCTCCATCGGTTTTGGGCTTCCAATTGCAAGCTTCTCTTAATAATAGCAGTGTCCTGCTCCTGCTTAAAACAGTATGCAGGGGCTTGAGTCACTGAATCTTGCAACACTGCTCCCACCTCAAAAGTAATCACGTGTGTCGAAATTCCTGGATATTGGAGTATTAATTAAGTCGCTAGTGTCAAAAACATGCAAACTCAACATCAAAACTAGAATGAATGTGTATAATAGTAATAGTAGTATTTACTAAGGGAACGATTTAGGAATCCGTATGAGGGGGATAAATTTATATAGTTAGATTTTTTTATAATTTCAGTAGGGGTAATTTTAAAATTTTATGAGTGCAAATACAAAAAAATATAAATTTAGGAGTATAAAATATAATAATAAAAAATACCATCACAGATCCGTGCCTTGCCTGTATAACAAGGGGTCGAGGTGTTTTAAATCATTTATAAATAAAATAATTTATCAAATAATCAAACAAGTTATCAATTAAAATAAATCATATTATGTTCGAAATTCTTTAAGATTAAAACAAGTTACTAATTAAAAACAAAATTTTTCATCCTATATTTATTTTTTTATTTTGTATCTACACTTATTATTTATATCTATCTATACCATTATTCTATAATATATATATATATATATATATTTAAAAGAGTTTTGACGTCCAAAGGGCATATCACCTTTTCTTATTCTATAATACACATTTTTTATTTAAAAAAAAAAAAGAAAAAGAAGAAGAGTTTTATTAGAAGAGTTTCTATAAAACTCTATCACAGGCATATTATCTTTTCTTATTTATTTATTTTTATTTTAAATATGCCACCATATAATTAGAATTGGGGTAAATTTTAAGAGGCAAGTAAAATAAAAAAATTCAAATAGAAATAGAATTGTATATGCTATGATACGTTTTAAAAGTCCAAAGGGAATTAGAATTGTAGATAAGCAGAAAGAGTAAAGAATTAGATTAAAAATACAAATATGCTATCAACCTTATTAATATTTTAGGGTTTAATTTTTTCAATCTGGATTTTTCTCTTTTATAATTGGTGTTGTGATGTTTTTGATTTTTTTCAGCATTTTCATTTTCCAATAATTCGTGGAGACAAGGGTATTTTTGTCTTTTCGCATGTTGTGTACGGGATTGTGGTTGGGTCTAATTGCATTTTTGTGCATTTAATTTTATATGATTTATGTAGCATTCATGTGGTGCATTTTTGTGTGTAGTGTAAGAATTGAAGTAAAAGAAAACGATAAAAGAAATTCAAAGTGGTGGGACCCACCATTAAGCACCAAATGGTCTAGAGACTATTTCTATTTCTCATTTTTCTCTCTCCCCGTCCATTTCTTCTTCTCTCTCTTTCTCCTTCATTTTTCCTTTCCTTTTGAAGTAGTCTTTGAAGCTTCATAACTCATTCAATCTTTGGAGTTTTGGAGTACCGTTTGAGGCAAAACGGAGAGCACGACGAGCTCTACGCACTCATACCAACAATTTCAGTTTTGAGCCTTCCTTTGGAGTTCGAATTTGAGGACCCATTTCAAGGGTTTTGTCAATTTTCGAGGTAGGGGCCCTTAATCCACTCCCTTCTTGTTCCATTGTGAGTTATGTCTCCTTTGTGTGATAAATATGCTTAATTTGAGAGTTAATTGTTTCAATGTTGTGTAATTAATGTCTAGAGAAATTCATGATTTTGATTATGATTTGTTCTATGTGAAAAGCATGTTGTGGTGATAGTTTTGTTGTGTTTAATGTGTTGATGACTCAATTGATGATATTGAATATGATATATGCTTAGTTGTGAAGTAATTATGAAATGTAAAACTTCTACATGCCATAATATCGTAAGCTTGAGACACATATACATGTACATGCCATTGTGTTGCATGAAATGGGAGAAATCAGTTTTTGAAATGAAAACGGGAATTTTGGGAGAAGAGTTTTTGTGAAATGATTTTGATAAACCCGGTCGCTGCGGGGTTACTAACGGGTCGGAGGTTAATATAGCCTTGAGGGGATTAGGGAGTCGCCCTAGCGTGGTTGAGCTAGCTGGGCCCCATAATGACGCCGCGGAGTTACCAAGGGTCAGGGACACTAGTCAATCCTTCTCTCGTGTCGCGGCGGGGTTACCAAAGGACGGGCTGTATTAACAGTTGGAAAGTATGGTTTTGAGAAATGAAAAATGGGGAGTGACATATCATGCATTGCATTTCATTACATTGCATTGTTTACACTTGGAATTGACATTGAAGTTGTTTTAACCCTTCATTGCATGATCCCCATTTCCCATTGGCCTATGCTTTGATTGGATTCACAAGGACACAAGATGTGTGTCTTAAGTGTCACCTACTAAGCATATAGCTCATCCTAATATATACTATTTTTTTTCAGGTCTTGGAAAAGAATCGGCGGATGCTAATCCAACTCAAAATTGAAAGTTGTTAGAAGATGATTTTTGCTATCTTGTATTTAGCTATTTCATGTGTAATTATAGTTTTGGGAATGTAATTAAGCTTGTGAATGATCCTTGAGAAAATGTAATTAAATATTACTCACTCAAAATCAGTTTAGTGTGTTTTAGTGATGTATGGTAAATTACGTTACCAACGTGGTGGTTGTTATTACAATTTGATGTTGAAGTATATCTTAATTTTGTACGTGAATGTAGTGGGGTGGTTAATTACCAAGTATTGGTGTAAGTGAGTTATCACTGGACAGTGGGAAGTAGGAGTGCAATTTTCTCAGAACCGGTCGACATGTGGCTTCCCAAATGTCGACCGATATCTTGGCAGAATGGTCATTATGGCATGCGTCCCAAACCAGTCGACTAGTATCCGTTATAACTTATGTTCAGAACTAGTCGACTGGTATCCCAAACCAGTAGACCGGTATCTTGGCAGTAGTTATTACCACTGTTCCTAATCCAAACCAGTCGACGTTTGATGCATATACGTCGACCGATTTACGTCAGATATGTAATTACAAATTTTAAGTTCTTATAATTTCATTTTGGCCCCAAGTAATGTTGCACGTAATTATTTTATGATCCACCAAAATGAAATAATTATATTTTAACCACCCAAAAAACTATATTGCCCCGAACCTTATTTTATTTATTATATGGTACAAGTAAAGGACTATGATACCCTTGAGTCTCAATTTATGGATTCATGGCAAATTACCAATTTGCCCTTTTTGGACCTTGTTATTTAATTTTGACATGAAATGACCGTTTTACTCTTGGATGATTTTGGGTTGGGTAAGGACCCGTTTAATGATCCGGATTCATGAGGATTTGGGTCGTTATAGGTGTTGAGAAAATATGGTAGGTTTAGTTTGAATTGTGATTTTTTTTTCTTTACTTTTTATTCTTTATTTTTCAGAAGCATCATTATTTTGTTTTCTTATTTAGTTTTATTTTTTATTCGGTGTTTTATGTTATATTTTGAATTTATCTGATTCATTCTTAATTAATTATTTTGACTCATATATCAGGTTTTATTATTACTATTTATTATTTATTTTGGTGCTTGGTTGGGCTTGTTTTGTATTGAATTTATCACAAATTGAATTTTATTTAATTGATTAATTTAATACATTATATGGGAATTTAATTTCTTGGTGTTTGTGGGTTTTTTTTTTTTTTTTTTTTTTTGTCAGAAGCATCATGAAAGTTTTATTTTTTATTATGTGTTTTATAATTGGTTTAAAATTTGGTTGATGGTTCATTCTTAATTTATTTGGGCCGGAATTGATTTTGGGTATGAATTTGTTAGATATTGAATTTTTGTTTAATCTGTTATACATTTAAGTTTTGTTTAATCTATTAATTTAATATACAACTTTATTATTGACATTACAATTTGAGTTGCTACAAGTTGTTGGTATATAAAAATTGTAACTTTTTTATTAAACTTATTTTATTATTTTTTTAGAAGCATCTTGAAGGTATTTTATTTTCTATTCAAGATTTAGTGTTTGATTTTAAATTTAGCTGGCTTATTCTTAAATTATTTTATATAGTCATATATGCTGGTTCTATTATTTGTTTTATGTTTAATTTTAAATTTGGTTGATTCATTGTTACTTTATTATTTTGAGTCATATATCAGGTTTTATTTTTTAAAAATCTATATTATTTTTATTATTAAAGTACAATTGGTCAAGGTGTTTCAAATAATTTATAATTAAATTATCAAATAATAAAATAAGTTATCAATTAAAATAAATCATATAATTCTCGGAGTTCTTTAAGATTAAAACAACAAAAATAAATAAGTAATTGTTTAATAAAATAATTTATCAAATAATTTATTCTTTACCTCGTATGGTGACCTAAATGTGTTATTGTACTTTTAATTGTCTTACTATTAAAAATTTACTATAGGATTAAAAGTATATAATTAATATGGGACCAACAATAAGGAAATGAGAATTCAATTGGTAGAGTAACTGTCATTACACTTTTTACAAAAAGTTTTGTTTTGTTTTTTATTTATAATTATGATAGATAGTGAAGCTGGAGACCTGAGAGGATTAGATCTTCTCATCTTAAGCATAGTAATTATGGTGACAGCACCTCATCATTGTTTCAAAAAAACTAGACAATAACTTTTACTCGTTCCTTTTTACAGTAATTTATTTTATCCAATATTCTTCAAAGTAGGAACTTCTATATTTTTAGAATTTCTTGTATTTATGCTTCATTTGATATATTTAATCAATAACTGAAATTGAAAATTGTTATCAAATGTAAAATTATCTATCTATTATAACAAAAGTACATGAACTTTCGAATCACATTTTAATCCAAAATTAACATTCAAAATCATTCAATTTTACACAAACTCATATAAACATGAATTTCATTTTCACCCTATTTATTCTCTTTTTCTTACGCCAATGCAAATTCTTTTCATTCTCTAAATTTCAAAAAAAAAAAAAAAAAAAAAAAAAAAAAAAGACATTATAATATCATACTATTAATTAAAAACATTATGTGCTATTAAATAAAATTTTATATTATTTTATTAAATTTATTATGAAAAAAATGTATCATAAATTGAATTTAAACAACTAATTGTTTATTAATAAATTAAACTTTAAAGTTCAAAAGTTTAATTTATAATATATTGTAAATTAGATTTTACTAGTAGTAGTATAGAATGAATGAAATGAAATAGAATAGGTACCATCATAGAAATCCCATCGCACGGGGAGGTTGGTGAGTACGTCCTCATAGTACCAGATGAAATCTACCTTCTCCCAGACGTTACACAGAAAGCCATCGGTGAGTTGAGTTCCCAGGTATTTTGCTCCGTCAAGAAAGTCCGGCCGAGGGATACCAACTTCGAATTCAATGATCTGGCAAGTACCATTGCCATTGCCGCCCTCCTCCTGCTGCTGCTGCAGCGTGTAGTAGAAGGAGGTGCCGTTGTTCCACTCCACGTCGTATAACAGCACTCCCAATTGCTTCTGTATTATATTAACGTTACGACCTCTGGGCCAGTCGTACCAGAGGTTGGTGATCTGAAGATGACCACTGGACGACAAGTTCATGTACAGGAGGGCGTGAAATTGGTCAGGCCATGGTGAGGGAGCTGGTATTCCATCCTCTGAGGCCTCACCTGAAATTGAATCAATACTACTGCTACTACTACTCACCAACACCGCTTGTAATTGTAGGATAACAATTATGGCAGCGTACACTCCTCCATTCAGCTTCTTCATCACTCACACACACTCTTTTGTTTGGGAACCAACCACACTTCACTTCTTTTATGTTGATAAAAGGAAAGGATAAGGTCTACGTGCGATCATTGGCACACAACTGGAGTACCCATATGTAGTATACCATCTGTGGGACCCACTAAATGTAGTACAGTACATCTTTAAAAGTATATCCTTAATTCCCATTTGATTTAAGGTCAATCTACTTATATTTTGACAGTTTGACTACTTTATTGCTGAATTTTATAGTTCCCTGCAAAAAGTTAATATTGATATGGATCTCCCATTTCACAGACAAAATTACATGTTCCAGCTTCAACAGATATACAGATAGATATAGATTACTTAAAATTCCAATTGTTCTACACTTCCAACCTATAATTATATTTCACCCAACTCCCATGACAACTCATGCAACTCCATTCTCACCCCTTCTGTGGGGCCCTCTTTTATCCAGATGTTGCCAATATATATCAACTATTTCATATTCAAGCACTCCCAATCTTATGCAAACATTCATACTCAAACAAGAACAACATATATATGGAGAGAGAAACAGACTGCTACTGATACTCGGCCTAAATGACATTGGTTCACTAACAATAAGACCTAACTCAACCTGAGTGCAGCTGATGCTGCTATTATTGGAGAAGTACTGGTCTATAATGCAGATTGGAAAATCATTTCCACAAGTTCCTCCAACGTTTTACACAAAATTTGGGTCAAATTTACCTGACAGTCCATATAAAATAAACTAACTATTTACAACTGAAGACTTCTTCACACTAGACAATGGCTAGCAACAACTGCGTGAAACCTTTAATCATGAACCTATGTAACAAAAGCTTGAAATTTGCTCCCATATAGAAATTAAGCTTGGAGACACAGGTATATTTCAAACACACACACACACACACATATATAAGTAGGAATCAAACTTTTTTAAGTAATAAAACTTACTCCTGCACTCGATGCATGTGATTATTTCGTTAAAAAGTCACATGTTAAGGTTTGAATATTACATAATAATACCTTTCAGGAATTTTTTTTTTTTTCAAAATAATAATAATATAAAAATTGGTTTCCAAGGAAGGTAATTCCTATCTTCGTTTTTTTTTTTGGTCAAAAGAGAAGACAAAGACACCCTTTACCAAAATATTTAAAATATAAATTTTTATATATGTAGTTACAGAGATAGCACTTGATATTATTTTCCCATTCCACTACTTGTTCTTATTTTCATGAAGTTTATCAGTAGTGTACTTTGTGCTTTTATTTTTTCCCATGTGTACCCATAGAGTTGGAATCCAGATGCCTGGTTATGGAACTGTTGCTTGAACCAGATCCCTCACCATGTGTTGCATGCCTAAAGTTCCTACTTCCTAGACTCAGACCCAATAAGACTAATACATCAAGATTAATGGGTGACCGTATTATTCATGGTGCAGCAATACTCAAGAATAAGCCAAACAATTGGTATCCCTAAAAACCACCTCCTTCCGAACATAAGAGGCAATATTGTCCAGAAAGTGATAATCGCAAACAATACTATAAGCATGGAATTTCAATGCCTCAATGACAAGCAGTAAACAACATGACAGGAACAACTAGATTCCCCAATAAGACTAATACATCAAGATTAATAGGTGACCGTATTATTCATAGTGCAGCAATACTCAAGAATAAGCCAAACAATTTTGATATCCCTAAAAACAACCACCTTCCAAACATAAGAGGCAATGTTGTCCAGAAAGTGATTATCGCAAACAATACTACAAGCATGGAATTTCAACGCCTCAATGACAAGCAGTAAACAACATGACAGGAACAACTAGATTCCCCATATTTCCTCAATAACAAAGATAGATTCACATCTTTACTCATTCTAGTTGCTAACAGATAAGTATGTAATGGCAGGATATATCTATTTACAACAAATTGACAGCCACGGGTAATGAAATTATGTTATCTTTGAGTAAGAGCTATTCATAGAGATGCGAGATGAAGAAATTACAAAAGGGCTAGAAAGCAGGAGGTAGGGACCTTAGGGTCCTGCTAAGACTGTAAATTGAACCAAGCTACTTGAGCATACCTCAAGTTTAACTCGGCAAAGCTTGTTCAAGCTCATTTGGTAATCAACCGAGGCAAGCTTGAAGATCACACATACGCCCATCAGCCAAATGAGCTGAACTTGATCAACCACTGCATTGGCTACATAGGATCATGTACATTGGTCCTTGGGTAATTAGCTCAACTTTTATGGGTACAAGTTAAATTGCAACTTTATACACTTTCGGTGGCATTACTATTTTATATGAATATTATATTCGTTTGACAATACAAAAATAAAAGGGTTAATTTCACTGATACTCCCTCAGGTTTGGCCAAATATCAGTTTCAAACATCTTTCGAAAATAACTATCATTTGAGTCCATTTTAATTTTTCCGTCACATTCTCCGTTAATAGCGTAGCAAAATATAACTTTACCCTTAATTTTTTAATTCATTTTATTCCAAAATATCATATTACTTAAATGACTCTTATACCCCTCATTATTACTCTCTCTTTCTCTCTCCTCTAATATATTTTTTGTATCTCTCTTCTGTCTCCCTCTCTTCTCTACAGACTACCTTCATTAAACTGTAGTCTAGTCAACCCTAAATTAGGGTTTATGTAATGTTTAAGTTTTTATTTTTATTTATATATATATGTGTGTTAGTTAAGGGACCCACAATTTTGTTTTAAAGTGGTCATTAAGACCACATTTGTGTTTTTGTTTTCTGCATCTCACTCTCTCTTTCCCAGCTGCCCGCTTCCACCTTCCTCTCTGTTTTCTTTTTCCTTTTTCCACTTCAAGGTTTCAATCCTTGATTGCTCCCTCATTTCTTTGTGTTTTTAAGTATCATTTGAGGCAAAACAAAGCCCGCGACGAGCTCTACGCGCTCATACAAGCAATTTCAGTTTTTGGTCTTCCTAGGGGCTTCGAATTTAGAGACCCAATTCTAGGGTTTTGCCTATTTTGAGGTAGGGGCATCTTAATCCACTCTAGTCTTGTTCTATTGTGAATTTTACCTCCATGTTGTATTAAATATGCTTAATTTAGAGTTAATTATATCTATGATGGTATTAATGATGTCTAGAGGGTTTTCACGATCTTGAATATGGTTGGTTCATGTGCAAATTATATTTAGTTGTTGATTTCCTATGTTTACTATGTGCTAGCATGCTGAAATTGATGTATGAGAGTATGCTTATTTAAATTGCGCCAAATTTCCCAATTCATGATGTTGAGCTCACATATATATATACATGCACATGCTTAAATGTATTTTGTTGTATCTTAATGTGTTAATAATTACTTGGGAGATGTTGAACATGTTGAATGTGTAATTTTATGATGGAAAATTTTAAATACCATGACATTGAATGTATGGAACATATATACATGCACATACCATTGGATTTGCATGAAATGGGAGACATTGTTCTTGAAATAAATATGGAGAATTTCAGGAAAGTGTTTTTGATAAAATGGTTTTATGCGAAACCCGGTCGCTGCGGGGTTACCAACGGGCCGGAGGTTAATATAGCCTAGAGGGGACTAGGGAGTCGCCCTAGCGTGGTTGAGCTAGCTGGGCCCCATAATGACGCCGCGGGGTTACCAAGGGTCAGGGACACTAGCCAATCCTCCTTTCGTGTCGCGGCGGGGTTACCAAAGGGCGGGCTGTATTAACGTTTGAAAGTGATGATTTTGAGAATGAAAATGGGGAGTGTCATTGACATGCATTACATTTCATTTCATTGCATTGCATTGTTTATACTTGGAATTGACTTATATGTTGTATTTGATCCCCTACGTTGTATGATCCCTATCTCCCATTGGCCTATGCTTTGCTTAAATTCACAAGGACACAAGATTGGTGTCTTAAGTGTCACCTACTGAGCATATAGCTCACCCTACTATTTATACATTTTTTTCAGGTCTTGGAAAAGAATCGGTGGACGACAACCCACCTCAAGCTTGAGCGATACTAGAAGCTCACTTTTGTGTCTTTTGTATATTTCCCATTATTTTTGCAAAGCACTAAAAGTATAAAGGTATATGTGTATATTTTGCAAACTTTGTCATGTAACCTTGTTGATGAATGGGAAGGATAATTTTAGTTAAAGTAATTATCGGTGTTATTTGATTGTGTATGATCATATACTATTGCCGTGAATTCGGAATTTGAGCCATGATAGATTAAAAATGAATTTAAACAGGGTACGGTAGGCCTATTTTTAGGGGAGGTTATGCTGAATTTTTTGTAAAATTCTTGGCATCAGCTAGGGTCGTTACAGTTTATTAAACCTAATTAGGGTTAATTAACCCTAATACAACAAAAGTTCTATCAATTAACCCTAATTTGGGTAATTTGAGTGTTAATTAACTCAAATTAGGATTAATTGATGAGCTTTTGTTGGATTAGGGTTAATTAATCCTAATTAAGTTTAATTAACCCAATTTAGGGTTAATTGATAGTTTTTTTTTTTTTTTGGATTAGCGTTAATTAACCATAATTAGGTTTAATTAACCCTAATTTTTAATCTGTTTACCTTCGCATTAATTTCCATGACTGAATCTTCCAATTCTCCAAATTTGGCCCTCTCTACAACTCTCAACTTCTTTTCTCCTCTTAATTCTATGTGATTTAAAGATGTTCACCACCAGGCTTGCATTAATTGCCAAAACCATGCCAAATCACTTTAGCCAAAATATTCTGGACCCCACCCCACACTTATCACTTCAACTTCAAACATGATATGCATAAGCAGACATATCTATTCTTCCTAAACAAAATAACCACAAATTAAATAAAACTAATTAAATAAAATCCATCCAACCCACTAATTAAGTAGCTCCCGCATAGGACATTCACGTATTTAATTCATTTATTATTCTGATATTAATGCATTGTTATTTATGTCCTTATTATTCAGGTTCAACCTTAATAAATATGGCACCAGCAAGAGCAACACAAAGCATTCAGACTTCATGTTACACTACTTCACTTACATTTTTTCACATTTATGAGCTTCAAATTAGCAATTACAAAGCAATTACAGGTTTAGAAACATTGTAATTACTGGTTATAAACAAAATTACAAAGCAATTATAGCTACTTTTGGAGCCAAATAATGAGGGCTACTTGCCTCAACTGATTTCAACGGAACAATAAGGGGGTAAAAATGTGAGTTTAATAATCAAACAACACTTTATTTAGTCAAACCAAAGTCAAAAGGGTAAAAATGTCTTTTTACATAAAAAAATGGTCTGACACATCTAAAAAGTAAAGTTTAGGGTGTGAGTGAAAAACGGAGCAAAAATTTGTAATGTGAGTGATAGTTATTTTCAAAAAATGTTTGACGATGATATTTGGCCAAACCTAAGGGGGTGTTAGTGAAATTAACCCAAAATAAAAAGAGTTTAAACCTGCCATGTGAGGCCAATAATTAACTCCTGAACTTGTCTTTGTCATTTTTTTATACCACACGTTACTAGATCTAACAAGATTGTCAATTCAAACCTATTTAGTTCCCAAATTAAGTTTTAATTCAAAAATTAAAGGCAAAAATTGGACAAGCTCAAGGCAAGCAAAAACATTTTCTTGGCCAGCTGATACAAAGTTTCGGCACTGTGGTACTTGCTCATTTACACCCCCAGCATGAGGTGGTAGTTGAGTGACAATTGTAGCAATAAACTGTTATAAAAATATATTACCCAATTGTTGCTAAGACTACGAGAGGAGAAAGTTGCATTTGGTATTTGCTTTTCATTCTTCTATCTCTTTATTCAAGGCCACTAACAATCATTCATGTTTTCTTGCATTTAAGATTCCCAGGCCAAGCCAATCATTAGGTCAAGAATATTCCATGATTTTGAATTACCTGTTTAGTAGAAGGAACTTTGGGTTCTCCCCATTCCAAGGCCTTTTTCTCAAGCATTTCAAAATCAGCCTTGCCAGCCTGTTGGAGGATACATGATTGCACATAATGTATTAGAGAAAATTAGGCATTCGTAAACCATTTATTAATATATATAAAATACTAGAAGCGCATTACCTTTATTTTAGCCCCAATTTCCGCGTCAAAACTCTATCAATCGTTGGCAAACAAGCTCAGCCAAAGAACCATCCTGGTTTTCATGATGATAAAAACCATTAGTAACAAAATCACAAAAACAAAAGAAGATTTGAAGTTAAAAATTAAAATAATATTTGCAAGGCAGAGACATATATCACCTTAATCAGCTTGGCAACATTTCGTAGTCCACGGGATAGGGCATCCGTGCCGGCAATGTGAGCAATGAACAAGTCCTCAACATCTGTGCTTTCCCTTCGCCTAAATATATATAATTACAAAGTCAGTATGCTCATCCTCCAAAACCATAAATACTAAAGAATTAGCATTGCAATATAAAATAAAAGCTAAATTACATTACACGCCTCATGTTTGTAACTGCAAACCACCACCTAACTTCTCTGAATAACACTACCTATGATGAAAATTATCGATACTCCCATAGATTTCATCACACCATCAAATCTACAGAATAAACTTTACTGAAATTACAAGTGTCTTAAGAAAAAGAACATTTTAGTTTTCTTTAAGTTACCTCCAGAAACTATTAGGCTTTTACTTTATGCCCTCTCATGTAAGAAAAATGTTTATTTACCGAGTCGACAAATAAATTGAAGGTAAATTCATCTTTTGCAAAAAGAAATTGAGTCACTATAGCATTTTTGTAGCTAAATTTGACAAGAGACAGTGGTTAAATTGTTATGCTAGAGAACAGATGGTGCAAAAACATTAGAGCAAGCCTGATGCACGTATTCCCATGAAAAAAAAAAAAAACAAAAAAACAAAAAAAAAAACTAATCCAGAAATCTATGCACACATGGCCGATGCATGCAGAGGAAAACCATAAAACAAAAGAAAGAAACTAACATTTTGGCATCAAAATTGAATCCGCCTGGTGCTAACCCTCCCTGTGATTGAAAAGAAGACAATAAGAGAATCAGTTAAAGAAAATCCATCAACAGCACCAAGTCTTGAGTTGATTTCTCAATAAATTAAAGAAATACCAAATTCTAAACTTACATTTCTCACAACACTGAGCATAACCATGGTTGCTTCTGCTACATCCATTAGGAACTGATCTGTATCCCAACCGGTGGTGTTGACAAAGGCTCTATTTCAAAACTTAAATTGCAGGATACTTCAATTATAAGTCTGTAACATAGCACAGCAATTACAAAACTTTATGAAAAACAGAATGTTGTAATGTACCAATCTGAGGATCACCAGTGTTTGCATCAATATGTCCCAGCAAACCATTGATTCTTGCAGTTTCAAGCTCATGATGACAGCTGGAAAGCACAAAAGTATACCAAATCTATAATGTAGCAGTTCATTTTTCTCGAGGACTATAAACTGTAAACAGGTCAAATTTGCCTATGATGCAATGAAAAATTATGGGAATTCAATAATCATATCCAAGTTGAAATTGGATTTCTGAATGGTCAAATTGGAGAATAAATAAAAGATACCTGTGCTAAGTTTGGTAAGTGGGAATGGAATGGAATTGAATGAAATGCAAGTGGGAATGGAATGGTCATTCTCATTCTACTGTTTGGCTGCAAATATAAAATGATATAGGAATGGAATGATCATCACCATTCTAGTGCAAATATAAAATGATATAGGAATGGAATGATCATCACCATTCTAGTGTTTGGTTGGACCAATTTTGAACCTAGAATGGAGTGAATTTCAAATTGAATTTTCCTAAATACCCCTCCCAGTGACCAATAAATTTAACTAACAAAATAGCACTCTTCTATAATTTTTTTAAAACAAATGGCAGTGGTGGTGGAAGGCAGGCAGCGACGACGGAAGTGGTGGTGGTGGAAGGTGATAGTGGGGTAGGTGGTGGTTTTGGAAGGTGGCGGCGGTGGAAGGTGGCGGAGGTGGTGCTAGTGGAGGTCATGGTGGTGGCAATGGTGATGGTGGTAAAAGGCGGTAGTGGTGGTGGTGGAGGAAGCCGGTGGAGTTGGCAATGGTGGTGACGGCGACGGTGGTGGTAATGGTGGCGGTGGTGTGGTAGACCAGTGGTGGAGGTGGAAGGCGGCAATAGTGGTGGTGACTGTGATGGAAGGCAGTGGTGGTGACAACGGCGGTGGAGGTGGCAGTGGTGACGGTGACAGTGATGGTGGTGGAAGGCAGTGGAGGTGGCGGTGATGAAAGGAGATGAGATGATGGTGGTGGTGGAAGGCAGTGGCCGTGATGGTGGCAGCGGTGGTGGTTTTGGGACTTGGAACCTGAGGTTTTTTTTGGGAACGTGAATATTTTTTAAAATTTTACTTGGGAATGGAATGGTCATTCCACAGATTGAGATGTGGAATGAAATTCATTCCACAGGAGAGATGGCTCATAATAGAAAAGAATGAAAAAAAAAAAAGAAAAAGAATTCAAGTGGCTGACCTGATTCATAGGGGACTAAGGCAAGGATGGTGATGATTCAATGGTATTTCATGAAATTAAAAGATTACCCTAATTTTATTGTTAACTGTAAAATAAAATTGATGATATTCAAATCTCATTCAGACTGTGACCAGCAAAGTTCAAGCTTGCTCCAACTGTAAATATAATAACTCAGATCATGTTCCAACTGAAGCCTATGGTTCTGTTGAATCTGTTCCATAATTGATCTTAACTGTTTGGACACGGACTACACTATAGTCTGAACCATTTGTAGCCTTATGCTTGGGCTGCTCTTGAGAGAAGTTACAAGCATGGAATCATTACCTGAGCATATAATGAAGTTAAGAGAAAATTACAAACCTGTGACCAGACAGAGTGGCATGGTTGCACTCAATGTGAGTTTAAATTCTCCTGCAAAAGAAAATGATCAATGAAAAGGTAAGGATAACAATTGCGCGCAATCAGCAGCTGCTCTTGAGAGAAGTTACAAGCATGGAATCATTACCTGAGCATATAATGAAGTTAAGAGAAAATTACAAACCTGTGACCAGACAGAGTGGCATGGTTGCACTCAATGTGAGTTTAAATTCTCCTGCAAAAGAAAATGATCAATGAAAAGGTAAGGATAACAATTGCGCGCAATCAGCATTTGATGCAAGTGATGAGTGATGAATGTTGCACATTCAAGCCCTTAAAGTTGCAAATGTTAGCGCTTTAGTAATGCTCAAGTATTGATACTTATGATAATTACTTGATTTCGGTTATTTTCAGGTGTTCATCTTCAAAACCGGTCAATTCCACCTACTTCAGGCCTTTAATGATGTTTCCAAGGATCGAGAGGAGCATTGGCATGTTCAGGGACAATTCTGGGCTTAAAAAGATGAAAAGATGAAATTCATGAAGCTAGGATCGATCATATCCTAATCACTCCAGCAAGTTATACACATATTGCAAGCCTTGCCAAAATTCCAATATTTCTCTACCAAGGTTACAATCGATCGTAGCCTTGGTACGATTGATCGCAGTGGAACATTAGGATGATGTGATGAACGCCATCTCCATGGACTGCAATTGCACCATTGCATGATCAAAATTTGCAGTCCATGAGTAATTATCTGTGTGTTTTTTTCGTTTAATTTCTCTTCACATATGTTTTATGCTTTACAACATGGTATCATGGAGCCCTAGCTAAGTAACATGGTTTAATGTTTCCATTTTTGGGGATCTTTTCTGGATTATGTATTATTGATTGCAAGGTTAAGAGCAATTGACTTAGTTGTACTAAGCAATTGTGATTTAATGATTATAATCAGTTTTAATGAAATCTCTATGTTGTCTTAGAATTGATTTTGCTTTAATCGAATTCAAACTTCTCTTATTTTCTGTGATTATAGGGGTAGTGATCATGCAATGGTGCCTAATGAATATATGAATGAGTGGTTTGATAATCCATGCTTAGGGAATAGGGGTTGTACTATACCGCAAATTATAGTAGTTACGTAGACAATTCGTGCCAACCGAAGATGGGTTAAGCTTAGTGTTTGTTCATATATATCTTTCTAATTGAATTAAAGTGAGCTTGTAGCCACTTGGTTCCCGAATAAACATAAATATGAATTTCCCATAAATTAATGCAATTAACCATGTTATGAGGCTAGTGGTGAAGTCAATCTCTAAGTTCCCCTTCTCTTGATACCTATTCTTTCATTACTTAGTTTAATTTCAGTTTACATTCATTGCACTTAGAAATACAAAACAAAAAATCAAATTCTTCTCTTGAATCAAATTCGGAAGTAATTTTGTACTTAACAATTCCAACACGGCCCTTGAGGTTCGACACCCTCAACATAGACCTATCCTATAAGGATTCGTTCTATTGTGAGTGGTTTATCATTGAGAAAACAACATATCAGCAAGATTATTTTCAATGTATTAAATGACTCTAAAACCATTTTTAAAATAGGCCAGTAAATTCAGGATATAAATTGTCCAACTAGAGGGAGGGATACGGCAATAAATGAGGATTCTAAGCTTCTTTGATGAGAGTCAAAAACAAGATCATAGTGTGTATAACCCTAGCCCTGGTGGTATGACCTCCCCTTTTCAGAAGGAAGGTTGAGAGTTCAAGCCTCATCAGGGGCATGGTGTGGATATAGTGTGTATTTGCTTAACTTTCAGGGGGGGGGGGGGGGGGGGGGGGGAATGACGTGTTGAAAAAGAAAATTCAAATGAAATGCAACAAGTGACTGCTGGAAACAAAGAATTAATTTGCTTAACAAGTGACTGCTTGCACTTTAAAGATATCAAAGTTCATGAATTGTGACTTGAGGAATTGATAACAATGAAGTAAAGAGCGGGGTACTAAGCGAGCAAGTAGATTAGATGAGGGATCGTGATGATAACCTATTAGGCCATATTTTCGCAAGAAAGTAGCTGATGTTGCAGCATCCCAGTCATACCTGACATCAATTAAAATATTTAAGACAGAAAATAATATTAGCCAAATTACAAAGGAAAAGGACTAAGCAAGAAGCATACTGATGTTTAGTGGGTTCCAGAGGTTTGGGTTCAATAAGTAGTGTATCTGTAAAGAAAAAGAGAAGAAAAGGAAGGGGAAAAACAAAAGGTTAGCATGTTTTGCAAAGTGATGAAAAACTATAACAATAATGAACATCGAAGCACCATTGAATCCAATTTTCTTCTTGTAGGCAACAGAGAAATAAACCTTGCCTGTGAGTAGCTAACTATATATAAATTACTTAAACAAAAGAGAAATAAAGAACATGATTAAAGATGTTAGCCAATAAATCAGATGAAAAGATAAACACTCTACAGTTACCTCCATGCAAAAGTAGAAAGAAAAAGAAAAAGGAGAGAAAAAATAGAAATATCAAAGAGCAATCATGAAGACATGGACAATCTGACATTTATTCTGCAATTTTATAACTAAGAGAAGTAGGTGGTGACCACACCATACATATCTGCGTTCACGAGGGTCTGTTAACCCTCCGGACTGCCCCAGAAAACTTAATTTTCTCCACCTAGATAATGTGTGATCTGTAGCATGTATGAATTGTCTGACTTAAAATTTTGCAATGTTAGGTATATATGCATGTATGCATTTTTATACTTTTACGGTCTAATACAAGTGTTTGAGCTAAGCAGCTTAAATATCTTTTAATCAAGAGTAAGGTTTGGAACTTGTTGATTTTGCACTTCCCCCCCCCCCCCCCCCCCCCCCCCCCCCCCACACACACACACACACACACACTGTATAGTAGTAGTCCAGGAGATGGAAGATATGGAAGCGATCTTGCCAGCTCTAGAGCACCTAATACCATATAAGCAAGCTACATTGTTGAGGATGGTCACCCATTTTAGGGTCTTCAAGGATTATAAACACAAACCACACACATCCATGGCTTTCTTGACTTGAGCTACAGCATATGCATATACACCTACTTGAGAGCTGTAAATCAAGATCCCAAAAATTATTATCCTGATTAGAATGTGAACGGAACAATCAAATTCAACCAAAAAGAACGAGAATACCTAGTAGCAGCATCATGCATGTAGTGAGGATGCAAGAACAACTGAGTTGTGCCCCACAAAGGACGAATCTTGGACCCCTGTACGGTCGAAAGTAATTGGATATGATAGAGAATCATGAAAGTATGACAAACGGGATAAAAAGCATACAAATTGATCAATCCAAGGTAATAATACTATATAACATAATGAACAATTGAACAAATGCACTTAAAGCATTGAAATGAAGAAAAGAAGTTTGAGAAGAAACTTTAGCCTTCAAAGGAGAGTCAAACGCTCCACACTCTCACAACAGCCATAGAGAAGTGTACATGCCGAACATGTATAGCGGACCCAAAATTCTACTAGAATATGATGTAAATTGTAATTCACCAATTTGCCATTGTAAAAATACCTGAAGCTCTTTTGCAAGGGCTACCACCTCATCTAAATTTGTATTAGCTTCCTGTGGAAAACATAAAATACTACCATAAATTGTTCAATAAGCAAATTTATAACCCTTACTGTAATGCCCAGTTATGAAATAAGAAAGCAAGAAGGGAAAACAAACTAAGACATTTACAAATTATGATGCTATCATGGAAGCACCACCATTCTACCCCAAGCTTGTTTAAGAACTGAAAGTTAGCTCTCACTGTGTTGTAAATTAATATAAAGAAAAGTTAGTTCCAGCTTCCTAACAGTCAGAATTAACTAATGAATAGTGCAATATCATAAATTGATCTTACACTCTCCTTCCCATTCACCTGAATCAATACCATTGCATTTGCTACCAACATCAGCAGGACAGGTCGGTGGGACCCAAAGCAATCTGCATGAAATTATATTAACAAATAAAAATAGTATCATTAGGTAACATAATGGAAACATTAATTTTTATGATACCCAAAAGAATTTATATTTGAATGTAGATAATCACAAAGAAAGCTTCTTTACCACTGAAAAGCAAACCACATTTAAGTAAAGAAGAAACAACAGGACCCTCCTCGCCTTCATTTTTTCTGTCCTGCAAACTAGCTATGCAACCTACCAAGTGAAGGAATAAAAGACAGTCAATCACTAAATAATTAATAATCAGCTTAGGGAAAAAAAAAAAAAAAAAAAAGGAACAGAATTAATATTCAACCAAAGAGATTAATATTTAACAATAACCATCTCTAAACCCAAGGGTTTGCAGAAGGGATCTTATCATACCTAACATCATTTGGAACCATCCCTTGAGGTTGAAAATCAAAAGCAGTCAAATTAAATTAATGTGTTGACATGGTTGCATAAAAGAATCCAGATATATGCATTGTGCAATCAACTTCTGGAAAACAAAAAGTTTCTAGGAGAACCATCTAAACATGTTTTGGGATCAATAAGTTTATTTTGAATTTAAAACAATCTTTTAAAGTTTGGTTTACTTTTAAAAGATTGTTTTGGCTGGAAATTGTTTTCCTATACCCCATGGCATCTCCAAAGACAATTAACCTTTACAGAGTTGTTTGATAGATTTGAAGCGCTCTCAAGTAAATCACACCCACGTTAAAGGACTTCTTTTGGGAACTAGGGCGCACAGCCATCATCACATTAACATACATATATCACATTAGCTATTTAGCACAACATCTCATAAACATAATACATCAATATATATATATACACACACACACACACACACACACACACACACACATATATATATATATATACATATATATTACATATGTTATATAATTTTTATTATGGTTTATAATAGAAATTAACATCCAAAGAACCAAATTGGAACTATTAAGAGTAGTCGAGTACACTAGAAATATTAAAAACTAGTGTAATCTAACAGAAATAAGCAAAACTTATATATTAACATAGTATTTTAGACAAAACATCAGTTTGGAGAATGAAACTCGTCCCGATCGTAAATCACATGAACAGCTCACGCGCGGAACAGATTGCTAACGGGTAACAAGTTAACAACAATATATAAGAGGTAACAAATATTTATATTATATATAATGCATATAGACAAAAACAGACGTGTACGTAAAGAGAGGTTACCGTAGCGATTAAATAGAATTGGTTGATGATGGTAATGGCCTTCCAAAACAAACTGCGTGTGTGAGTATTGAATCCCTCCCTCGCTAAGACAGATAGCAACAGAGGGAGCTCACACATATTGGCATATATATGTATAGATATATATAGATATATATAGAGAGAGAGAGAGAGAGTAGAAGAAGGAAGTGGAGACGGGTAGTTTGGGGATTACAATGGTACAAATTGTCCAAGAAGGGAAATCATTCAACAAACGGATGGGGAATTACAATTATGGCTAAAGAAAAGGACTAATTCTAGAGACCTAAGCAATTAAGCGAAAGAGAGATGATGATGTGTTGTTCGCTTAAGTTAATTAATTCAGAGTTCAGAGACACGCACGCACGCGCGCGCGCGCGCACACACACACATATATATATATATATATATCTGTTTATTTATTTATTTTTTATTATTCATTTTAACATAAGTTAATTATCTCTTCCACAAAAATCATAACATTTCGAAAAAGAAAAAAAAAATCTCAACATTTGAATTTCAAGTGATTCACGTAATTATGGTAAATAAATCTTCTTTTTGAAAAAAAATTACATCATTATTCATTAAAATTATATTTTATGATATAATTGTATACAACTCTAAATAAACAAACAAACAAGCAAATGCATGTGCTCAATACTTACGAGGCTACAAGGCAGCCTAACAAGTGTTTATGTGCAGATTGTTTAACCGAGCATAACACTACTCCTCTCAACATTGTAATTAATATATATACACGTATATCTTTATCACGTAAACTTTTACAAAATATATCAATTTTTTAAATTTTACTTTTGACATAGCATTTTTCTTTTTCAATTTTTAACACACCCATTTGTTTGTCTATGGATTAGAACCTCATTTTCACGTAGAGAAGATAATTATTTAACTACAAACTTTTGACCTAACATAATGAACTCAACGCATATCAAGAAAAATAAAAGAGAAACTACGATAACTAAATTTGAGATTTATCATTTTTTTTTTTTTTGCATTCCTTTGAAGTTTGCTATTTTTTGCAAAGCAAAATTCAATCATTTTTATCGTAAAATTTGGTTGAAAGGATTAAAATACCCATCAACTAAGTTTAAAAGACCATATTATCCTTATAATGTTATGAAATAACAAATAAAAATCATGCGTGAGGAGACCAAACTATCCCTTAATTAGGTTTTAAGATAGGGCAAACTACAATGACCTCCCATGAGGTTTGTCCTAATTGCAATTAAACTTGAGATTTGTCATTTTTTTGCAAACACCTCCCCTTATCAAAATTTACTGTAAATTTACTTATTTACCCTCTTTATTATATAATTAAAAATATAAAAATATCTTAAAATGTCAAATGACTCTTTTGCCCCCCATATACTTTACAACCACACAATTCCTACCCTGAAGCCAAGAAAGATTGCCTACTGGATGCTCTAATACAACTGTTTATGTATATATATAAACTGTTATATATATATATATATATATATGAATTTGTAAAGTCATATACCTCTTTGTAAAATCCACGCACATACATATATATCTATTCATAAAAATACACACAGCACTCTTATTTGTATCTTTGATTTTGGAGTAAGCTTTGGATTGGAATTAAAGCCAAAATCAAGCTGGGGGCGAGTTTCTTTATTGTCGTCTAGAGAGATTTGAGATTCAGTAAGTAACTCAGGGAAGCAAACCCATGTGTGAGGCTCTATTGATTTCAGAAGTCATAATTCCATTCAGTTGGGTTTCGAAAAACTTGCCAGTTGCGGATTAGTTCGATGACGAATATTATTGCCGCAACTGATTCTTCCAAATTTTAGGCTTCAAGGCACTGTTGAATCAGTTTACCTAATTGTGTGAATATGAAAATCATCTTGCTTGATTAAATCGATTCCCTCTCTTCCAGAACCTCCGACGAGAGCTCTGTTGCAGACCCAATCTGGCCGGAGTAACATTGAAGACCTATCTTGTCGAGAGCTCTGTTGAAGCGTCCTGACCTGGTTCACTTCAGTCCAGTGACCTGGTTCACTTCAATCCAGTGAAGCGTCCTGACCTGGTTCAACTGACAAACCAAATGAGTCGGTGACGGTGGTGGTATTGGTGTTGGGTTCGATTAGGGCTTTGCAATCGGTGTCGGCAATGGTGGTGGTGTTAGGTTTGATTAAGGCTCTGTAATCGGTACCGCATAGTGGTATTGTTGGTGTTGGGTTTCAATTACAATCGGTGATGGTGGTGGCGGATTGTTTGCGTCTGCGTGTTGGTTTTAATATGATAGAGTAGTATATAAGTGAAATTATATATAGCTGACATATATATATATATACACACACCCATATATATATATATATATATGTATATATGTAAAATTATATAAAATCGATATATATATATATATATATATAATTGAAATTTCTCAATTTCTTTTTGAATTCTGATATTCTTACGCACCTGGGTTTTGTTTTTTTTTTTTTTTCTGTATTATTTTTCTCTTATAATCTTCTGTTATAGTGGTGACTGGTGGATAGGTGTAGAGAGAGAGAATGGAGGGAGAAAGAAGGATATTTTTGTCAATGTTTTTGTCATTTTATGATACTATAAGGGTAATATTGTCTTTTCAAGTTAGTTAATGGACATTTTAGTCACTTCAATCAATTTTCCTAGCAAAAAGTGTCATTTTTTGTACGGAGGGTGGTCTTTGCAAAATGGGCCAAACCTCAGAGGGACAAGTTGTAGAAAAATGACAAAGTTCAAGTTTAATTGTAATTAAGTCAAACCTCAGGAGAGGTCATTGTAGTGTGCCCTTTAAGATGATACTATATTAATACATTTAAAAGAGAGGCCACCACCGGTCCACCGGCAGCCACCATCACTGCCCAACAAACCCACATAGAAACCAAACCCACAATGACTGGTCTTATATATATATATATATATCACCACCACCACCACTTCTACCACCATTATCACCAACCAATCGGACCCACAACAAACCCAATCGCACCCATAACAAACCCAACTGAACCAAGAGGAACCCCAAGTCAAACCTGAAAGCTTAGTGATCGCCGTACATGGCTATCTTTGGTATCAACCACGACAACCAATCAAAGGCCGATCGAAGGAAATTCCGACATCGGCCTACACTGAATGGAAAAGCGATCGAAGGATGTAATCATCAGCGGCGGCCAGAATTTGAGCAGCGTGGAGGTGGAATCGGTTCTGTATAAGCACCCGGCGGTGAGTGAACGACGACTGGTTTTCTGGTGAAGTCAAAAGTATGGTGTCTTTGGGTTTCCTATTGAACCAAACGCACACCCCTTGGCCAAACCCTAGAAAAAATTTCACAAATCAACCAGAAACACGAGTTTGGATTTTATTTTGTGAAGGGAAAACGGGTGCGGTAGACAGTCGCACCGAACCCAGTCCTCAATTGGCACTCCAATCTTGTTCGCGGAGGACTTTAGTGTTGATTCCGGCACAACTCTTTCAATTTTGCCCGATAATATGATGAATGCGTTACTTTCGGAGCTAGGTTCGCATCTGAGAAATGTAGTAGTATCTGTTGATGGTCCCTTTGAGATGTGTGTATCCGACATTTCCAGATCCCCTCAAATTGGATTTCAATTTGAGGATAAAAATTTTACTTTGGAAAGAAAAAATTTGTGGTATGGGATTTCGGAGGGGATTTATTGTCTGGCAATAAGGAGGGGTACATATTTTTCTCCACTATTGGGTTTATGGCAACAGATGGGACATGAGTTTAGCTATGACTTGGAGGAAGATGAGATATGGATCACTCCTAATAAATGTATGCTCTAGTGTTTATCATTTGGTTTATTAATAATTCATCTCGTATGAAATATGTCAGTTGCTAGCATAGTTTCAACTCATATTCATATGGTTCTTTACCGCATTAAATACAAATATATTATATTTACTTTCCTTGAGTTTCAAATTTGAATGTATTAAGTTCTTACCATCTAGCACCGAGCAACTTTTTTTGGGAATTTAATGCAAAACAAATAAAAAGCACAAATTTAAAAGCTTCACCTCTGCATGAAGAACAGATGTATCAAAAACTCTCACAAAGCACCATCCACTACCCAACAGCTATTCAGGAGATCTCATGCAAAACAGATTCGTTCGGGAAAAAAAAAAAAAAAAAAGAAAAAAAAAAAGAAGATAAAAGCTTGACCTAAGCATAAACATGCATGACATACAGACCTAGAAAGAGCCTAATCAAGAAACCAAACCAACTTATCCCAAATTTGAAAGGATCTACTTGCAAAAGAGCCAGTCAAGCCATTAACTTGGTTGTTTAGGGCAATTTCACCCTTGATTATGTATTTCTCAATCCAAACAATTTGAGTAAGTCCTTAGTCTAACAAACAGATTCAGACATATGGATTTCTATTCTCTCTGTCAGGGAGCAGGGTGGATGATTCCTTCATACTGGCCTGAGGAGATACTGGTTTGGTTGAACGCAAATGCTAACACTGCAGTAGAAGATCAATTGAATTGGAAAGATGGTAAATTATGCTTTAAAGTGGCATAGAACCAAAGCAGCCTTCACACAAATAAAGTCTCTTGGTACTCACTAGTTTGGAATGGAAGCAGGCCTAGTGTCACGGACTTGAACCTTTTCAAGCTCCCGTGTGGCTTTAGACACTTTCAAGCCCCCTTGAAGCACTAAGTCAGCCTACCCGAGTGTGCTAGCTTAGTGAAGACTAAGGCTAGACAAGTGTTTTGCTTACTTGGGTGTGTAGGAAGAGGTTAGGCAAGTGAGCAAGAGAGTTTGGGAATGTATAGAACTTGTATTGCTTGAGAGGAGAGATTACAACTTGGTTGCTTGGTGAGGAGCAAATGAACTCCCACCTCCTATTTATAGGCCTTTGGCCTTACAAGAACATTGTAGATGTGTACAAATGTGTGGCCTAGATTTAGTGTCTAGAATCCTCCAGAAATATCTACACAATTCTAGAACTTCTACTATGTACAAGACAAGTGTAGAGAATTCTATACAACTCTAGACAAGTCTAGAAAAGGCTAGACAACTCCACACTAATCTAGAGAATTCTGGAAAGTTCCATACTTATGTAGAGAAGTCTAGAAAGCTCCAGTCCATACAGGCTCCATGTCATCGTCTGCTGGGCGTTTGCGTGGCGCCTGCGTGGCATAGCCTCTTGGTATCGGGGTGTGACATTCTCCCCCACCTAAGCTCGCGACGCCCTCATCGCGTCTTCTTGCTTGAACCGCTGGATGTGCTCCGCGAAC